GTAATGAGGCGATTTTAAACGACCACCAAATTTTCTCAAAATTTATAATAAATTGAACCTTTACAGTTTAAAAGTGTTGAAAAATCGGTATTACTCAGTTCAGATATACAAATAATCAAATACGACGGCATAAACGTTTTAATAAATCAATGAAATTACCAATGAAATATATAAACCATCTGCTCATGATTTCGCAGGTTTGGTGAACAAACTTCGTCAGAGAGATTTATTTATATCAAATGGCAGGCGTTTTGATGGTTATCAGTAGCCCTCTAGTTGACTTCAGGCTTCACAGAGGGAGAGGAGCATCGAAGCGAAAAAAATGGAGACGGGGTGAGGAACGGAAGAATGTTTTAAAGATGTAAAAGCGACAGACACAAAGGTAGATGAAAGGTGAGGTGAGTTATGTGAAAGTGGTCGAATATGGGGCGTCATGAAAGTTTGAACTCAGAAGTCAACGTCCGGTTTATATACTTTTTTGCTGCATGAGTATACGTTGCCCAGGTTGCACCACGTGGAGGTAAGTCTATCGCACTCCCCTCGTCAGATAGAGATAAAATTTGATCAAATATCCATGAAGGCATCAGAAGCGCATTGCGACAGAGCAGCGGTAGGACGGACGGGCAACTTTGAGTCAAACAGTGGGAAGTGGTGACTTCGTGTTAAACCTTACTGGTGCAAGCACAATTTATGCGTTCAATGCTAAACTTGCTTTATTCGATCACTGAAAAAGAGAAGTCTGATAATAAAATATGTGTTTAAACTTATTAAGATCAAAGTGACACTTGATCAAGTTGTACTTCATTAACAAAGAACGTCGAAATATTAATTTGTTTTGTCTTCCAATCTTTTCGTCATGTACTTATTTGTACTTTTAGTGAAGAAACTAAAGTCACAATTTGCTAAAAAATGTAATTCGTTTTTAAAGCACAAGTTCTACTAATTTTTTCCCAAAATTAAAACATGCAAATAGTTCAGTAAAATGGAAATAGACAAATTTATATCAGCCACTTATTTTTTTGGAATTCGATTCATTTGTTCAATTTAAAAAAATTAAATTTGTGCAGTTTCCGTATAATCTACCGAAGACTGAGTTCAAAATTTGTTCACATTTGTCCGTCTAAAAATTACTCTGAATGGTCTACACGTAGACTTTAAGTCCTGAAAGCTGAGCAGAGGCCTTGCAATTGCAATCATTTGAATTTTTTCCATTTTCAACAATACTTGCTCAATTCAAACGGGATTTAATTGAAAAAGCAAACTATTTATTCGACCGAAAGCTGGATTTTCAACCGTTACTCAAAGATATCCTCCCACTATTCCAAGTTACTAATGTCTGCTCTGTTATAGCACTTTGTCAATATTTTAACTGAGATGTACTGGAATAAGATAGTAAGTAAATCGTGTAACGGTTGGTAGTTGAGGTTGACGCATTGAGTCCTTTTAAAGGGCTTGCGTTGAGGTATTGGGGAAGAGATATACAGACTCCTCTCTTCTTTTCTAAACCGAGATATCCAGCAGCAGTTTTGCAGTATGCAAAGCAGCCTTCAACGTATTTTGTTTATCTTTCATAGGCGCTTCATTTTTATTTATCATATTTGCATCACTTAACTTTGATTTGATTTTGACGAGGTCAGTGATTAGCGTCTGTGAGTAAATGTTTTAGATACCATGGCGATTCTTATTATAATCTGAGGTAATAATTTTCCTAAAGACTTTTGCCGGCAATTATGAAGTTCTGCATATTTTCACATCAAACGATGACCAAGCCTGCATCGCTAGGTTCCATCCGTAATGCAAATAATCTCGAAGTGTTTTCCATATACTGAACCATCGACCATTTTTGCCAAATAATCTAAATTTTCTACTTTACTTTAAGGCTAAATTTTTAGAGGTTTACCTTAAGAATCGCGGGGTGTGCGATAGACTTACTTCCACGTGGCGCACCCTGGGCAACGTATACTCATACGGCAAAAAAGTCTGTTATTCGGCAGTTGACTTCTGACTTCAGACTACCAAGACCCCACTGCATTTCATATTCGACTAATTACACAGTACTCACCTCACCTTTTTCTACCTTTGTGTCTGTCTGTCTCACGTCTGTGAATCATCATTTTGCCTCCCTCTCGACGTATTGCCACTTTGATGTTTATCTTCCTTTCTGTGAAGCCTGAAGTCAACTAAAGGGCTAATGATACCTACCATAACGCCTGCCATTTGAAATAAATAAATAAATAACCTTAAGAATCGCAGTGACTGCCTTCAGACTGCAGCCATTATGGGAGATTTTTCCACGCAAATACGCCTTCTCACGAAGGGAAAGCTCTATAGTAACTCGACTGCCACTCCTCTTTAAAATGAATTATCCCATAAGTCTTCATTTCTCTCAGTAAGTTTCCAACTCTTTTACCACTCTTTCTGCAAACATCCCCATGCAGTCTTCCCCTAAGCAGACTCCAACGCTTCACCTCTTCCGTAACACTTGTCTTCGGTCCTCCATAAAATAGCGAAGTAATTTAATTCACTCAATTTCGTAGTCCTCTTTCACTCTCTTTCTCTGATCACATTGAAGTAATAATCTTTGAACACCCTTTCTTATCTCTTTAACTCAATAAATATTTGTTAACTCTAGTATTTAGCTCCCCCCCCCCACAGTTTAATTAAATTTCTATCTTTTTGCAAGATATATTGTTTAATGTTATTTATGAACAGTAAATACCATTTTTCTGCTAAATGTGAAAATTTCAAAACCCAAAGAATGCAGAGGGCACGCCAGATATTGAGGCTAATTTTACCATGACTTGAAAGCCAGCAAGTCTACTAAAGGAATTACTAAAATTTATTTTTAATTGCTAATAGTCCTCTGGTGTCAGTTTTGGATCAAACGATTTTAATCGACAATTACTGAGTTAAATGATGCCCCAAAACAAGGACGCCCAACAAATTTCGAAGAGGACCTATCTAGACCCTGCTTGGATCAGATCCATATGTTAAATAAGCTGGGAATTCGGGAACTGCAACACCCCTCTAAGTATAACAAGGATGAGAGGAGAAATATGTGTATTTCTTTGCTTTTAAAGTGAACAATAGGCCTTTATAACCAAGTTGCTGCTGACAGAGGGAAGTGTGGGGGCCGCCTAGAGGAGCGGTTTTCTCCGAGTAAAGTCGCAGTCCCACCTTTAAGGCCAGAGCCGATTTCGAAAACTCCTTGTTTACTTTGGGCGGGGGTTGTGCATAGAAAAATCCGCAGATATTAACTAAAATTGGGAAAAAACTGTTAGAGGTGAACTTTGTTGATGTTAACAATTAGATCAACTGAATAAGAAATCAAAATCTATACATTCTATCTTATTTGGTAAAATCAATTATTTCTTCAACACGACAATTCACAGTCCATGAGTTTAGGTTGCATAGTGGACTATCAACGAGCATTCGTTCATCACAGTATCCATACTTTTGGAGTTTTCCGCCTTGAAGTCCTTAATATTATTGGGGGAAATTTTCTATTTTGGCGTGTGGGATTTGGGGGAGAAATTGCGAATATCTGTTAAAAACGATTAATGTGATAATATAACGCTAGTTTTAGAAACAACTCTAGAAAGTGTGTTGAGTATTTGTGGAAATATTTGAGGCATAAAAGGTAGGTTATTCAGCTATGGTTGAAAAACTGGGCAATAAGTTAATTTCATTAGATCGACTAATAGAATTAAAGGTATCCCCAGGTTACAGCGTATAAATACCATTGGCTGTTTTAGAGCGTTAAGCTATGCTGTATGGAACTTCTGATGTAATATTTTTGGAAAAAAATAACTACGACAAAACTTGGGGCTCCAAGTTCCGAAACACTTCTGGTAGAGTAGTATTCATTATTAATTGACCATAATGAATGCCTCGTCTCAAATGAAAATTGGAATATAAGTCACAGAAAAATGTTAGAAAAAAAATGTCAGAAACACTAAGAATTTCATGCAAACCTGCATTCCGGATACTTGGCAAAAGAGAACAATGACAGAATAACTACAGTGCATGGAGAAACAGTCACACCCAGTTCCTCCCGCTCTGCCTGCTTGTGTGGACTGTCTCCGCTTACATCTTTCCTTTAATTAACATCTATTGACTAAAAACCAACACCCAACCCATTGTCTCACTTACCTGAGAAATTACTCATAGCCTATTTATGTGGGCAATATTTATGTAGTGCTTTTAATAACTATACTCACCCCTCTTCTAATTATGATTTGTCTCTTCGCTTCGCTGTAATTAACTTCTCAAAATGGCATTCCATTGGCATAGCAGTAACTATTGGCAAGATATATCCAAACAGTGCCCATTGCGTTACTCTCAAAAATATCATAACAGCATTGAGTAATTTCACAAAAAAGAGATAGGTACAGAGGTAGAAAATTAGTGTTTAATTGCAGTCGCCTTAAAATAAACTCATTCCTACACAAATTTGATGAAACAGCTTTGAAAAATTATAATCGTGTATCAAAATTGTTGCCGATTGAGTATTGCTGTGACTTACCGTTATCACACTTGCATGAGTAGAATCGACCGCAATTTCAACTTTACTTTGCCTGTTATTGCGAGTTTTAAAACAATCTGAAATGAATGGATGGAGATAACATGAGGCATTGAAATGGATGTTGTTCTACGGAATTGTTAATATTATCCTACACCAAAAACAAAAACATCAAATTTGAGAAAAAAACTAATTATAAATGCAAAGGAATTAACTAATTCGATTTGAAAACTATTCAAAATAAAAAAATTAAACGGTTCATTGTTTACTATTGTGAAGAAAAGTACACGATAGCCAACACACAACTGTTATCCGATCTAGCGCAACGCTAATGATTTCACCGCCAATTAGTCCATTAATGAGACAAGTTTCGAAACCACTTTTATTATTATGAAAAAAATGCATTAGAATATATTTTTACTCCAACATCAACTGTCCTTATTCACATATTCATTTGTTTCCCCATAGCTCTAAAAGATTAAGTTGGTATTGGAATTACCTGGTACTTTTGCGATGGAGGTGGATATAGATGAAGCATATCCGGTGGTAAATATCCGTATGGATTATTTAGCAAATAAGACAATATCGGAAACTGAGGATCATAGAAGCTGTCATCAATATCCATTGATGGGGTTTGCAAACCAGGGATAGAAGATGATGGTTGAGGAAAGTGAATTTGGCCTGTATACGGAGCGTTATATCCTACCTCGAGTTCCGTTTTAGTGTTATACACAGCAACTTCACCTTCGTTTGGTCGACTACACGAAGGTTCGAGGGAGTCAAATGCTGGACGATCATTGGACAGACTTGTAGATTGAGTGTTCTTTAATTGGAATATTTTGGAAAGCTTTGCCTTCCTTGATTTCAGTGAATAAACCACCGCCCTTCGATAAATATCTGGGAAAAAAATAATTTTTTTTCTAAGAGCTGCATTTTCTGCTGGAATATCCTCAAAAGTCGGTAAACCCATATATGTTCTTTTCTGCTGTCTAACCACTTTGTAGTGATATGAGCAATAGACAAAAATGGGGACTCAAAAGCGGTTCTTCGTTGTCTATCAAGAGAGGAAGGCTCAATAGCCTATAAAGGCTTTGATAGCCTCAACATCAAAGTCTACTCAAAATGGCAGCTACACACATCTTCTTGGTCACCATCTTCGTGTTGACTATGCAATGAATGATGTTTCCACTGTGCAAATATTTCAAGAAGTCATTTCAGATGTGTAGTAGAATGAATTACATGGAACCATGGTGTAAGCCATTTAACGACAACTGACACAATGAACAAATAGAGCAAAAGCGACCCAAATAAATGAATCGCTCAATAAAAATCTGTTGAAACATCTCTAGCATTTAACTGCAAGCACAAAAAATGATCAATCGTTCGCCACTCAAAATGCACAAAGTAAGCTAGTGATTAGGAATCGTCGAAGTAGAATGGCAGAACTAAATGAGTGGAAAGACCAACTTTGAAAGTAGTCCGTAATTGCTAAAGCTAAAAAGTCAGCGTTCACTTGCGAAATAACCTCAAGTCTACGGCTTAGATCAAGAGGATGGAAAGTGTCATTTCAAAATCAGAGGTGATAACAAGGCAAAATACTGGACAAGGAATTAAAATGTTCTTTCACCGTCACCGCCAAGTCACTTTATAACCTTGGCAGATCAAGATAAAAGTAAATCAATTGTTGTTAATTAATTGATTCTTTGTGTAACCAACCACATTCTATTATATCAAGGGTAGAACGATTCTTTTGATCTTTTCAGACAAATCACGGCCTGAATAAATAATGTTCAGTCATTAGGGTAGTCATGTCTGGTCAAATCTCCATTTCCCTCCACTTGAAATCTAAGTTGAAATACCGTATTTAAAAATTTCTTTTATCTCACTATATGGGGTGGGCGATGGACTTACCTCCACTTGGTGCTCCCTGAGCAACGTATACTCATACGACAAAAGTCTATTAATTGGCAGTTGACATCTGACTTCAAACTACCATCACCCCAGTGTATGTCATATTCGACCCCTTTAACAGTACTCATCTTACCTTTTCCCTACCTTTGTGCCTGTCTGACTCTTTCACATCTGCGAATCTCTCTTCTGTTCCCCACCTCTCGACTTTCTATTACTTTGATGTTCCTTTCCTTTCTGAAGCCCGAAGTCAGCTAAAGGGCTAATGATAACCATCAAAACGCCTGCTAATTGAAACAACTAATTAAATATCTCACTAAATCATATAGTTTTAAATCTAGGTAAGGATTACTTGTCATCAAAAATCTACTTAAAGAATATAGCTGCTAACGTTTTTCTAAATCAGGAACATGGATGCACTTTAAAATAGAACAAAAATGACAAGCGATTGTACTTTAATATACTATGCACTACTACGATCTTAAACTAGACTTAAATGTCTTCGTAAAAAGTTTGGCCTCTTGGATTATACAGAAGGAGTTTTATATTCTCTCATGAATTTAAGACAGCGAGAACACTCGAGACGTGCGAACCTTTGTTTATCAATTACTTGTTACAATATTTAAAATAGACATTGTCTGTTTCTACATTACTTCCAAAAGATTACTCGTTGACTCTCTGTGTTGAATAGTTAGGGGCTGGAATATGAAGTAAAACTCTAATGTTTTGTAGACGTATTACACACATTCCTCGCTTTTGTTCAAATCAATATTTAATCGTTCAAGTAAGCCTTAGTGAACTTTCTTACACTTAACCAAGCTTTTCAAGTCCATTTGCATCGATCAGGATGTTGAACCCGATCAGCATGTGAAACTTCCTTTGTTTCACGGCGACGTGGGTGAGATCGCTAATGCAGGCTCTGAATACGCTGCATATATTTTTGTTCCTTTTTACTACAATGCACATGATATGCATTGTACCATAACTATATGACTGATAAATCACTCAACTATCTCTTCTAGTTTGGTGCTTCTTCAGAGTTTTCCAAATCTGTCCATTCGGTCATTAGGGTGTTGGGCAAATTTTCAGCGTTATTCTACCACCAATGACGAGTTTTTTTAATTTCTTTGAAGAATTATGTACTTTGAAATTGAGTAGGAAATAACCGGTCACTCATTACATTGCAGGGACTTTGAATTCAACGGAATTTTTATACTTACTGTCAATCACTGGTACTCAAATTACCTCTAGAAAAACACCGGCTTTCATCCGAATGGCGTACTTAGTTTGGATAAACTGGAGGTGGGTACTATGCTATGGATGAGTCATTTTGAAGTGGAAATCTTAAAAATGAATATAATAAAAGGCAGTAATAAATACTCAATGTCCAGTTGGTTCTACTTACGCCACATTTGAATAATCAGGATAATGGGATGAAAACTAGGATGGAGAGTATCCTTTATAGCCCAGCAATATTGAGGCATTGCAATAATTAATCATTCAGATCGATAATTAATGTAATTAAAGAAACCAAAAATCAATAGTTTTATTCTAAACAGCATATCATTTGCAAGTCTTGCTATAGGTGATTAAGTAATATATGCAAAAAATATGTCACAGTTGCGAACCAACGGATGTCAATTAAGAATTCTAACCCCAAACTGATAATGAATGTTATAACTAACCTTGGGTAATCTTGGGACCTGATCGTCTAGTTCGTCGCCGACTGCGCGAGAAGATCTTGTTGTAGTCGAGCACCGTCATGCCTCAAAGCGTTAAATGAATCGAGGTTTTAAAAGTAGTTCCAAATAGCTTTTGACCTTGAAATGAAACCCTCTCTTGTTTGTATTCAGTTGTTCGCACTTTTTTCGGGCATCCAGTTACGCGTATTATTAAACTCTTTTCGAATTGGGAAGCATCTTAAAAATACGCTTACTAAATGCTTACGCTTCTTCCCGCAATTATGGGTATAACGCTATTTATTGGGTCAATAACGGATGTTCTATCAAAGCGATGACACATTCTTTCAGAAAAATGTTAAAAATGGTTAAATATAATCACGTTTTCTTCTAGAAGTGCCAGTATTAACAATTGTTCACGTAATCAGCGAAATATCCATGCAAATTCTATTATTAGTATCCGTGATTTGTCCTGAAAGTGGTCATTACAACTTCATTTGTAGCTCATTGACCAGTTCGTGAAAGTGCGTGTTAGTCATCCAACGTCTATGCCACTGTAGCATTTTACATCTTAGCCGAGACATCCAAATGTTTCCTTAAAATATCGACCTCATTCGTGTACGGGTAGGTTCATTTGTTTTATGTTAATCAAAAGTTAATTGACAATTGTGCTTGTCAGTCAAGAAGGGCATATATAAGGTAAGAATATATGGTTATGATTACTTTAAAATTCTCCACTAAGTTTAAAAATTTTTAATTTTACGAAATGAGAATGCTGGGAGTAGTAAAAATTTTTAATGAACCGAACACTGCCCATTTTCCGTTAATTTTGCTGGTATACTTGATTAAGTAAGCAGTATAAATTTGAGAATTCGATGTATCTTAGCAAACAGACCAACACTTACAGAATGATGCAATACTGCAAAAAAGTAGACTCATTGGATCATGCTAGAATAAGGAATTTCAAATCGGTTTGAATTTGAGGCTGAAAATTTATGCCCAGATAAGTTTGTCTAAAAAATTGACAAATTCTCCTTTGATTCTTGAGACAATATGACACTACAACCATTTCGAAAAGTGGTGAGATTTTGCGTTGTTGATCTGGCAAATGTCCCCAAAATTAAATTTTTATGATTAAGGAGAGGGTAGTTCACTGAGCCAATAACTCGCAAAAGGTAAATTAGAAAAATAATTGTGAAGATCCTACACTAAGGAAAGCCATTTATGTACTCAGTGAATGAGTTGGTAAATGTCACTAAAATTCAAGAATTTCCAAAAGCTTCAATCATTTTTTTTAAAATTCTGTCAAGAAATATACAAGTCGTAAAAGGGCTATTTCGAGAAACAATACACCAAACTACTCTGGAAATAACAACTTGGGGTTGAATAAAAATGTGTCTTTAAGCTTTTTAGATTTTAGGGTGTAATTCTGAGCTTTAAAGATATCAAAAACTGAAATTTTTATACGATATGTAGAATTTATATGGCTCTAAATGCTAACTAAGGTACTCCAGTAATTATCTTTTCATTTGCAACTTCAACCAAAAAATTAATATAATAAAACGAAATAACTAAACAAAAAATAATCAATTATAAGAATAAAATATTGACCATAAAGTCAAATAGAAATTTCCTATTAAGAAAGGGGTTTTACTTTCGCTGTAAATTTGCAAGTTAATAAAATAAAAATTTTATTGCTGATCTGAAAGATATTAATTGTGATAACCGATAAAATGTATTTCATAGAAATTTGTGTACAAACAACAAAACACAAATTACTACTACTTGTACATAAATTTGTTACAGAATATGAAGTTCTCAGAAAACTTTAACGAGAAAGAGTTATGTTCAACGTTTTTTTCTGAAAAAATGAATTAAAGGAGACCCAATAAATGCATTCTTGGCGCTAAGTAAATGTGGAATACAAACATTACGATGACTAAGTTCATCGGTGATAAGTATTCAACCTGTGAGGTAGTAAATCATGGTAAATTTCAGTTATTAATACAAGTTCGATTTTAAGGAAGACATGGGAAAATAAACCAACCAGGCGCACTGTATTGGCCACTTTAGTGATAAATAGCTAATGAGCCAAATAAAGGCTCAAAAGAAATGTAGAATGGGCGATACGTTGGATGAGAAGAATTTAACGGAATATCAACTGATTTCAGATGAGCCCCAAATATGAAATTAGGAAAATATGAGAAAAATATTTCACAAAGCATCTGCCATTGATGGAGTTAATTTTTTTGTAAATATTACCTTTTTATTGAAAAAAATGAATCTTTCTAAAATAATGCATGCATAATTTCTCAAGTGAACTGTCGCTGTGATTTTTGTTAGTATTTTTTGTTTTAAATAACTGAAATCTTCACTTTTCGCTTCTTTACATTTTGATATTATCGTAAAGCTACATCATGAACAAATTCAGAGTAATAATTTAAGCTGAAATATTCCCTTTTTTCTGAAATAGTCGAAGCTAAAAAGGCACCTTTCTTTTCCCATCCAAAAGCATCAATTTTGTATAGTTTGCTAGCCAGACCGAAATGAAAGGCAATGAGTGCAGGCCACTTTAATATTCTTCATATACTTCACTTTTAAGCCACTTCAATGCTTTTTAATGCACTTTTAATATTTCTCTACAGTTAAATGGGTCAGAACTATCATGCCTCCACGACAGAGTTGTTGAATATTGGTCTTGGCGACAATCATTAGAGAATTTTACCAAAATTTTAGCCGACGGTGATTTAATCAATTGGAATAAGTCAGTCTGCAAACTTTACAGACCAGAATTCTAGGAAGGCTATAATTTACGACTAACTAACTGAAATTCTGTGAAGTCCAGTTTGAATGCCTATATGCAAGTCCATTTTGTTATTACATTTCAAGCTTTTTGAAACTTTAAATTCCCATATTTAACTCAGTTTTGAGCAATCTTTTTAATAAACCAGTTTACTAAGCCATTAGTTGGTTGCATTTTCCATAGAAAGGCAAGCAATGTTTGGTTTTTATATTGTGCAGAGTAACTCAACATCAGTCAAAATTAAGTAAAGGAAAGAGGAACGAAAAGTCACAATTTCGAAAGTCAAGTTGCATTTGATTTTGGTTTGAAGTAACGCAATATTTACTAAGTGGGTGCTTTACGTACCAAATTTCAATGCTTAATAATGTAGATGAGGCAATATATATCACATCATCTGAGATTCTAATTTTTCTTCCTATTAAGTCGATAGGAGGAACCGAGGTCTCCATTTGTGGCAGTCGATAAATTGCAGGCACTAATGGGCTAGCCACGGCAAACACCAAGTCCTAAAAAGCTCGAGATGTTGATTCGAGCGAGGAAGAGAGAAGAGGGAGAAACAAACAGTTCCTTGACAAGCATACGTCTACATGTCCTAACCTGGAGTGGAAATAGGAAGACAGTTTACATGAATTACGTTAGCAAGAACGAGTATAAAGTTTGAGTGCCGATAGAATGAGATATTTGAAGAAGGAAAGGAAATTGCTGAAGTCCTATGGACATGGCAGAATAAAGTTTGGAATGAAGAGACATAAAGACGAAGAAACTAATTATTTTCGTCAATGTGACTTACGAGTAAAGCATTGAAAGGACATAGATAACCATCTCCCAAGATCTGTTCTTTGCTCAATTGATTACTTATCGCTTGCATTTATGATAAGGTATCATTATCAAAATCATATTCACTTGAACATTTGAGTACATCTCCTTTACTGCATACACGTAGTGTTGTCTAACTACCTATCCGTCAGTTTATTCTCTTCACTTCTTCTTCTTATTAAACTTCGGTTAATTTTTCTCTACCTTACTTGTCTATAAATGCTGAACCAATTTACTGGTCTCTTACATAGCATAATTCAAACTTCTGTGTCCCAACTTTAAACCATTTTACCGATCCCGTTGTAGAGAGACTTTCGACAACCACCTCTTTGTCACTGGCCACTCCATTATGACTAATGACTCGATAGGCTCTGTCGATGATAAGTGTAACTCACAGAAGACGATGTCATCGCTGCTTACTACAAGTGAGCTGAAACATCTGCAGGAATTGCTGCATAAAATTAATCGTCCGGAAATTTTTGAAAAGTTACATACTGAAGAGTTTTCAAAGCTCTCTTTTTCACAGGTAGGAGAAATGCCTTTTTGGAATCAACTCAAACTTGTGTATTTTAATACTTCCATCAGATATTCTTGACTGACTCTCCGCCTTTATAATAATGTAGGTAGACAATTCTTTGGCAGAAGGGGGATGTGTGGAAAAAAACACTAATCCCGAAATACTCCAATCTGCTCACGAGTTTTGCATGAATAATAGCTATCATTACTTCCATCATCAGCATTCAAACTTTGGACACCAAGATGTTGAAGACTTGAATGAGCCCCAACCTTACGAAAATAATTTATTTCAAATGGCACCTTACGAAAATAAAGATGAACATGTTGAAGAGTTCAAATCTCCTTGGGGAATGAGCAACAATGTTTCCCAATGGCAAAATGATTCTTTTGAAGACTCGTATCATTCCACAATTTTTAATGAAGGAGGCTATAATTCAATTGCTTCTGAAAGTACTGATCTTCCAGTTCAACGGGTAACATAAACTAGCTAAACTCCATTTTACAAAACATGTAATGATTAATATATTTAAGACGATTTAAATTACCCCATTTAAGCCACAAAGTAACGTCTGGATTCAATGCCAAGAGAATGAGTGTCAAGCCCTTGACCACACTCATAGTCACTACAATAACTTCAATCCTGATGGCCAAATTTATTCATCGAGTTGTGACTATGTCACAAATACTAGTAACAACTTGGCTAACCAAGAAGTCGCTTACAATCAATTATCGTTAGAAGGACACGGTTATCAAGAAAGTCATTGGTCTTTTCAGCAGCCTAAAAATGAGCAGACGAATTCATTCAACAATAATTCCCTACTATTTCAAAATTCTTATAATTGTAAACCTATTGATGAATACGACCAGAAGCTCACGGCAATTCCACTTGTTCCAAGTTGCATATGGCATTTCGGAAGGAAGAGTATGAACTCTAGGGGAGAAGAAAGCTATACTTCAAGTCATAGTACTGCCCTGAATCAAGTTTCCAGCACCGGTCATCAACGAGTAGGTCAAACGTGAACTGAAATTGTGAATTCCTGAGTGCTTGTTTATTTAGAGGCTTGTTATATAAGTCATTCAAAGTGCATTCACTTATTTTTCTATAAAGTGTGAAGTAAAACAATTTCTTTAAAATATTTAAGGACAATTCCTGGGAGTCAGCAAACCCTGCGACCAACCGGGATCTTCAACTCGCCGACTATCAGGCACACTTTCCGACGCTTTGTCAGCTGTTGGACGATGATGGAAATCTGCGAGAGGAGGAATAATTCGGGTTTTTGGTATAATTGATTAGTGTTTTTTCCATTTTGTTTATTCTCAAATAAAATGCTGGTTTGGAGGACCCGCGTATTTTTTAATGCTTTCGTATAATTGGGTTTCCTAATTCAGTAGCTTCGATACTTCAGGAATTTAATTCTGTTGAAGCTGTTAGCAGGAGGTTCAGTACAGATTTTAAGAGGGGAGGGGGGACGAATTTGGGAAGTATCAGATTGTCAGTAGATATGATTTTTGGATTTGGATAGTAAACCGTCTACTAATTGAAGGGTCAGTGCTGTCAATTCGATTCATTCTATCCTCCAGTAGTCTACGAGCTCAAGTAGTTTTGAAAGATTAACCACGTTTGAGCACTTACAAATCACAGCTATATTCACACACAGTTACATTCAATTAAATGTAAATATAATAGTCAATACAAAACTTTTTATTTTAGATTGCAGTTTATACCCACCTGATTCGGTATCCAGCCTTAAAGGCAACGACGGAAAGCCAGAGATACTGGGAAGCAAGAAGACAGCTAATTAATTGCTATTAATTAACTGCTATAAATGTACCCCCCCCCCTTCTTGGGGGAAGCTGAAGTCAAAGTTTAAGGGCTAATGATAAATATCATAAAGCCTGCCATTTGAAATAAATAAATAAATAATTAAATAAGATTGCAGTTTAGGTTCGTCAAAAGTTTCCACAAATTTACTCAATTGCGTGTCCTTATGCTGATGCAGGCAAATGTCGAATTAGCTTCGGTCGTTCCCTTTTCGTCAATTATAAATTTGATTATTAATGCATTTCTCCTCTGTCCAGTTCTGACATTTCAATTACTGTTGATGCATATAGGGTCATGATTTTGGCCTCTAGAATACGCTACTATATCGAGTTGCATTCAGAACCCATTCTCATATTCTAACAAAGACAGTTGATTGATATTCACATTAACGCCAGTGTTTGTTTTTCTTATATGAAATGCAAAAACAGCTTACCTGAGATACTGGTTGCGAATATTTCAATCTGATCCGACATTTTACTTAACTATTGCCAATTACTCACCAGAAGTCATAATTTGAAAAGTTTGTCACTTTTCACATTTGTGCTAATGGGAGGTCTGTCGCTAATAGGTATGCGACCACTAGGTACCACAAGGCCAACTTTGACTCAGGATCGAAAGGAGAAGGAGACACAACGCGTGCAGCTGATTTGATGCACTCCAGTAGCCAAACAATTATTTATACTTGTACACAATTTTTTGTTGTGCTGTTGGTGTTTGTGGATCAAAATGCCCTCAGGCAGAAAACGACTTTTTGCCCAAATGGGCCCGATTATTGATAAGGGTAACAGATGGATTGGAAACAACATGACTGCTGAACTTGGTGACCCGGAAGCTGTGAACGTTATTTCGAGGTTACCTCACCTAATAGGGTTAAAGATCTATCACAAATTTTTTACGGGATTTTGTAATTAAATATCCAAAATAACTTTACAAACCCTTTAAGGGATAAAAGCAGGAGTCAAAGGGAAATACAAAAAGCCACCTGAATTTAAAAAATTTAAACATGGTATCTAGTGAATAAACGTATCGGTTATACGTCTCTGCTTCTCTAGACTCGGTAATTGGGAGAATCTATCACAAAGGTTTCTGAGACTTAAGCCAGGCTTTACTAACGTAGAAATCCGCTACACTTTCCTAAAGTGGGTAAAATAAAGAAATGATCTCAGAATAATCATTTAAATAATTTTCGTCCAGATTGACCTGATTAAATACTCGTCATTGATATCCAAAACTTGTAAACAAATTGAAAAATTTACTAATGGTTATTAACTTATTGATTAATTTCCTTTCCTACTTTCAAAAGACCAAATTTCGTGAGTTCAACTCCCATTAATTAGCACAGTGAGCGGAGTGGCCAACTTCACTGCGTAAGATGGAGTAACTTGAAGTGTGAAAGAATGCTGGTGGCTCAACTTCGAGGCACCATGATACCGCTCTCTACATAAGACGGACGAGGAAAATGCTTTTCTAGAAGAGCTTAGTAATTATTAATTTTATTTTGTATAAATTATAGGCGGAACCCTATGTTGGACAAATTTGAAATGCGGAAACGTTAGTAATTTGCAAATAAAGAAAGTGAAATGAATCCAAATTAATGCAATATAATAATATAATAAATATAATGTATAGTGAATTTGCCTAATATTACCTAAAATTCGGCTTTTCTTGCGCTTTCTGCATTCACAAGAGAACAGTGTTAATTTGCCTTAAAATTTATTGGTTTGATGAAATTCGGCATGAAAAGAATTCTCCTGAATCCTGATTCCGATGAAACAGGCAACCGGACGCCCAATTAATTTAATTCTCCAAGAAGCGCTATTTTTTTCTAAAATTTAAAAAAAATGCCTAAAATAGTGATTTGTTGATGGCTTCATTAAAAGACAAAAGCTGTAACTACTAATTCTAACTAAGTACGAAAAACTATACGAGTTTTGAGCTTTTGTAAAACAGAGGAAGGGAGACGCGTATTTTAAATGCCCTTTAAACGTAAAAAGGGGGATTTTTCCTTTGTTTCAATCAAATCAAACAGCGAAATACCAGAGGATTTTAACGTGGAAGTTGCTGAGATTCAGTCAAGGTTTGTTTATGTAGAATCCGCCACACGTGCAAACACTACCATCTTTGCCCATTAACATATCAAATATTCATTACTGTATAATTAAATTAAAACTTTTATAATATCTGAGAAGCAGGAATTATTTGACCAGTTAGCAGGTAAGAATAAACTATTAAAAAATTCGTATGATTATTTCATGAAACTAGAGAATTATCCGATAAAAAATACTGCTATAGTAATTCATTTAAACGCTTTTAGAAACGAGGGTTTCTGTTTCAATCTATTGACAAAATAGAAATAATGAGTTTAGACCCACACACTTAAAGAGCCAAATATCGAAGACCTTAGGGTGAGATTTCGGGCCACCTCATTCAAGTCCCAAAAGTTGTACATATGATCTCATTAGTTCACATTTTAATAAGTCTTACTATCAAACAAATCGCATGCAAATAAACCACCCCACTCTGGTCTAGAAACGCCCTAGTTACGATTTACAGCAAGGAAGCTAGCGGAAACTGGTTGAACAATCAGCGTATTCCCTCTTATATTTGCATTATCGGGTTCCTCGCATTTACCTCTCTCGTCTGGTTCCAACATCGGTCTCACGAATTCACGCACACACACTCACACACACTCGCACACACCAGACGTGACGAATCAAAATTACTAATACAATTAAACTCGCTCATCACTAATTCACGAAACTGATCCATGTAAACTTTCCAATCAACTGGTGTTTATTTGTGCTAAGTGATTTTCTAATGCAGCTCTCAGAGTATTTTTGGAATCCATTTACACACACCATTTCGAAGCTCCTTTGACATTTTCATTAAGTCATCAACAACATCAAAAACCTCGGTAA